AAGTAAGCCGTTTCAGAAGCAAAAAGTGAGATAGAGCCTCTGGGCCAGGAAACTGGATGGTGCTGGCAGGAGAGTAGTGGCCCTGCCTGGGAGTCATGCTGGTCTTTTTATGGGGCTTCCCACCTCACATTCTCTGATATAAATCTTAGTAATGTTCTCCTAGGGCAATCTACCCAGGCAATAGAAATAAAAGCAAAAATAAACAAATGGGACCTAATTAAACTTACAAGCTTTTGCACAGCAAAGGAAACCGTAAGCAAAGCAAAACAACAACTTAAGGAATGGGAGAAAATATTTGCAAATGATGTGACTGACAAAGGCTTAGTTTCCAGAATACATAAACAGCTCGTACAGCTTAATAACAACAAAACAAACAACCCAATCCAAAAATGGGCAGAAGACCTAAACAAGCAGTTCTCCAATGAAGATATACAAATGGCCAACAGACACATGAAAGAATGCTCAATATCACTAATTATCAGAAAAATGCAAATCAAAACTATAATGAGATATCACTTCACCAGCCAGAATGGCCATCATTAAAAAGTCCACAAACAATGAATGCTGGAGAGGGTGTGGAGAAAAGGGAACCCTCCTACACTGCTGATGGGACTGTAGTTTGGTGCTGCCACTATGGAGGACAGTATGAAGATTCCTCAAGAAACTAAAAATGGACTTACCATATGATCCAGCAATCCCACTCCTGGGCATATATCCAGAGGGGACTTTAATTTGAAAAGATACATGCACCCCAATGTTCACAGCAGCACTATATACAACAGCCAAGACATGGAAGCAACCTAAATGTCCATTGACAGATGACTAGATAAAGAAGGTGTGGTATATTTATACAATGGAATACTACACAGCCATAAAAAATAAAATAGTATCATTTGCAGCAACATGAATGGACCTAGAGATCGTCATTCTAAGTGAAGTAAGCCAGAAAGAGCTAGAAAAATACCACATGATATCACTTAACATGTGGAATCTAAAAAAAGGAGGACACAAATGAACTCATCTACAAAACAGAAACAAACTATCAGACATAGTAAACAATCTTAACATTACCAAGGGAAAGGGATGGGAAGGGATAAATTTGGGAGTTTGAGATTTGCAAATGTTAGTCATTATATATAAAAATAGGTTTAAAACCACCAAATTTCTTCTATATAGCACAGGGAACTATATTCAGTATCTTGTAGTAAACTTCAATGAAAAAGAATATGAAAACAAATATATAAATGTATATGAATGACTAGGACATCGTGCTGTACACCAGAAATCGACACATTATAACTGACTGTAGTTCAATTTAAAAAAAAAGAAGCTGGTTATCTCCAGTTCCTAAATAATAATGTTACTACTGCCATTATGTACAATCTATCACTAATCATAGCAATGTTACCAGTGTAATCACATTTGTATAGGGCATCATAGCATTCAGAACACTTTGATCTTTGACATCCTTGGGAAATAGGCAGAAAGCTATTTTACTGGAACCTGAAACTTATGAATTACCCAAGATGATATAACTGAGAAGCAGAACCAAGACTCAACTCCAGGTGGAATTTCACCCTGCACAGTAAGAAGAATTTTAGAAGTTCTTAAAAATGCAAAACACATTAAATGTGTAAAGGTGTTGGAAATGTGAATTCAAATCTAAACACCTGTACAACCAGTTCAAGATCAAATGGTAAGCTTAAAGGTAGAGACTGTCTAAGTGTTCATTTACTCAGAAGAGCAGAAGGAGGAAGAATTATGGAAATGGTGGTTATCACAACATTGTAAAATGATTATAAATCAATAAAAAATGTTAAAAAAAAAAAAAAGAAATGGTGGTTATCTTTTGATTCAGTTGATATTTCCAGTGGCCCTCCCACCCTTCTGGTAGGTTTCAGGTGGAGACGGTACAGGAGACCCAAATACAAAAGCCATGAATCCCAGTGCTGGGCAGAGTCTCAATGTCTGCTCGAGCCACAGGCAGCAAGGCTGCAGCCCAAGAGACAGAGGCCTCTGGTTTCCAGGAAGAGAAAGTAGCCAGAGAAAAGCACAGCCTCGATCCTTAGGCGCTTGAATGACTGCTCTCTAGACAGATGGAAAGCTGATAACCACAGGATGGATCACTGATGGAGGAGCTACCCTTGCACGGACCAGCTAGGCACTTCAACATACTAATGAGTCCAGTCATCACAACAAAGTTACACAACAAAGTCAAAACCACTCTTGTTTTAACAGATGATGGAACTGCAGCTCAGCTTGCTCAAGGCCACACAGCTAACAAGCAGTGGAACCACAATTTGATTCATAGCTGTCCTCTTCCAGCCCTCAAGGCACATGGAAAGGAAGAGAAAGCACAGCTCAAAGAATGTCACAGGAGCCAGTCTCCCTTCTGAGTCAGTCTGAAAGCATGTGTCTGTGCATGCCGGGCTCTCTGTGATAGGTGAGCATGCTCGGAGGAGGATGACTGAAGGACCTGGGCTGAGACGACCAGGAGCCTCAACTGATGATGGGTTTGGGGCGTGAAGCAAGCTGAAGATGCAGGTGGGCAGGTCAGTGGGGAGCCAGGGAAAGCGGGATCGGTGGAAACGAGGCTGGGGTCAAAAAACATTAAAACACACAGGGCTCTAAGGTGGGCCTTTCAGTAAGAGTTGTGCTCTCTGAACACCTGCCACCCTGGTCTGTAACAGCATAACATGATAATTTCATTTACAAATGAACACATCACTTCTATGTGTAAGGAAGCACTCTGTAGCATTTACATGAGGGAGTCCCTTATTTCTGAAAGCGCTTATTCACTGAGAAGAGCCCAAGACTTTCCCACTACTTTTTCACTACCTTCCCACTATTTGCTTGTTTTCTCTTTCTTTCCATCTCGTGAATTCTGCTTCATTTAGATGAGTGGCCTGACCTTCCTACTAGGTAATCAAAGGAGTGCCAGACACCAAGCTGCTCATTTGCTCAACAAAAGCCAAGTGCCTCTGACCCAGGCGAGGATCCTGTTCCTGCTGCAAGTAGCAAAGAATGTCAACAAAAGCTGAAATGATAGTATTTAAGTTTCGTGTTGGTCTCCTAGATAAGTAGATTTCAATGGCAATGACCCACAGTAAGAAACGCACTTTACACTGGGAGCCACAACACACAAGGGAACATGTGTATGTGTATGTGGATCAATGAGACAAAGGTTACATGAAACAACGCCTGCTGTCTTACGGGTAATGCACCTACTCTGATATTTCCATTCGATTCCAGTTCATCACAAAAAGTGGAGTGATGTCCCAGGTTGACTTTACGATCCCCGTATGAGTGGAAACTTGTAATGTGACAATCACCATCAGATCCAGAATATGAGGCATTATAGGAACTCCCCGGCAAGGAGGTGTGGAGAAGGGTGGGGCAGCTCCGGGAACAGCACGTGCTCCTTCTTCTCTGCCCACAGCTCCAGAAAAGGGTGGAGCCACGAGGAAGGGAAGGCAACATGGAGGCCATCACAGACTGGAAGAGCCCAGTGAAAAAGCAGAATTCATTAAAAAAAAAAACTTCCTTTGCCTCATGGTCCACCAAAATAATGGCACTTAAGATTCCCTCTAACCATTTTGATGACCTACATTACTATCAAGCATTATTCACAAGGAAGGCTTTGTTAGAAAACTGATTTTATCCAAACCTGATTTGAAATGGACACGTGTGTGTGTGTGTGTATGTGTATGTGTGTGTGTGTGTTAAACAGGCCAAGGGACAGGAGCTGTTACATTTGTGGAATTTCCAGTCATTAGGCTGACCTCAGGG